TCCGTGCCAAGAGCACACTCACCCCCGACGAACGGAGGATAGACAGACTCAGACTCAGCAACAAGGCTCGCGGCGTAGTCTAGACGACAGCGAGCAGCAAAGTTGACAAGCTCAGCAACTAAGGCAGACGCAACAGTGGACTCAAAGGAAGGGCCAGTGACAACAGTGGCCAGGAGACGCGTGACAGTAGGACTAGCAGCACGAAGGGAGTCAGACTCCGGGTTCGGACCGTCACGCAGGAGGAGACGGCAGAGGGACACGCAGTGGAACAGAGGAAGGACGAAGTGCCATCTGGTGCGTGCCGGGGACAGGAGGAGGACGCGGACGCGGAACACGACGACTAGTGGGAGCAGCGCGAACAGGCGACGCAGGACGAGACGCAGGCTCACGACGCTCAGCAAGACCTCCGGTCGGCCCAGTGTAAGGAGAAGGACGAGGCAGTGGGGAGGCTGGTTGTAACTGCGACAGCGACTGGTCAGGCGGCGGACACAGTAAGGGAGGAGTAGGACCAGTAGAAGGCGGGAGACCAAGAACCTGCTGAAGGAGTGGAACGAAGTACGGCCGCGGCCGTGAAGCACCACCAGAACCAGCAGAAACAGCTCCAGCACCCCCAGCTCCAGGGTCTCCAGCTCCAACTCCTACAGCACCACTAGCTCCAGCACCAGTAGCACCACCAGCAGGAACAGCTCCAGCGCCTCCAGCTCTAACTCCTGCAGCACCACCCGCAGGACCAGCTCCAGCGCCTCCAGCTCCAACTCCTGCAGCACCACTAGCTCCAGCACCAGCAGCACCACCAGCAGGATCAGCTCCAGCGCCTCCAGCTCCAGCTCCAGCAGCACCTCCAGCAGCTCCAGCTCAAGCAGCACTAGCTCAAGCAGCTCCAGTAGTACCTCCAGCCCCAGCAGCTCCAGTACCTCCAGTACGAGCACCTTCGAGACTAGCGGCTCCAGCACCTCCAGCAGCTCCAGCTCCAGCAGTCTAGTCGGGGAGCTCAGCCGCGTCGGGGAACTCTGCGCGGAAGGTGTCGGTAAGGCGGTAGAAGCTGCGGTGCTGAGTGTGAGACCTCCCACATGTCTGACCATTGCGGTCACCTGTGCGAATGACATACGGGCAGGGACCATTACCCCCTGCCGCCCCACCCTGAGCAAACCACTCACGGAGCTCCCGAGACGAAAGGGGCTGACGCTGCTGCTGCCGCTGGCCACCTCCAAGGCCTCCCCTCTGGCTGGTGCCACCCCTGCCGCCCCCACTTCCGCCGCCTCCACCCCCACTGCCGCCACTACTGCCGCCACCACCGCTGTCACCACCACTCCCACTGCCGCCACCACCGCCGCCACCTGCCCCGTCGCCCCCACCACCACTACCTCCTCCACCGCCGCCCCCTCCACCGCCTCCACCGCCCCCACCACCGCCTCCACCTCTGCCACCCCCACCGCTCTGGCCTCCCCTGCCCCTGCCGCCGCGGCGCCTCCCACTAGGGGCAGACGCAGCTCCCACCTGCTCGGCACGAAGGTAGTCAACAGCTACAGAGGCGACTGAGGGGAGAAGGGGGGAGGGCGAACACCCATCAAAGAAGGGGGTGCGAGGAGTGCCACGAGAAGCGCCTACAGCGATTATGCTAGTCTCAGCTGCTAGGAGGTGCTTCTCGAGCAGGTCGACAGTGAGGTCGGTGGGGTCAAGTGCTAGGAGGAGGTCCCTGACTGCAGTAAGAGAGTCAGGGAGGCGGGTGACTATGAAGTAGAGCGTGATGTACATGGGGGGGGGGGGTTCTTGGCGAGAAACTCGGCGGGGAGCGCAGCACGGTAGCGAGTGTCACTAGTGCGGAGGTGAGTGACTAGGTCGGCTACTGTAGCAAAGGCGGACAGGTCTGGGAACAGGTAGGGCAGGAGAAGGCGGCCTAGAGCAGCAGTGGCCGGGAAGGAGTAACGAGTGACTACAGTGTCGTACAGTGCTTTTGTTGTCTTATGTTGGCCAAAGTGGGCGCGTTCGGCTAACGGCAGGTGGTTGCGAACGGCTAGGCGAGCAGCAGCGTCACGGGTAAGCCACTGTGAGCGGGTCGCACTGTCAGCTGTGGCGTCGGGGGCGGGCGAGGCGCCAGAAGTGAGGTCAAACAGTGAAGTACCGTCCTTAGAGTCTGTCAGCAGGAACAGCTGTAAGTCGTCTAGCCATGCATTGAACTCTATCGGGCGGCCCTCCGAATCGAACGTGAGAACGTTGAGAGTGGCCATAGCAGGCAGAGCAGTCGGGCGCGCTAGCAGTAGAGTAGCACGCTAACAGCAGTGCAGCAGGGAGCGCGCTAGCAGCAGTACAGCAGTAGGGCAGGGTGCGAACGGCAGGGTAGGGCGCACAGCAGGGCAGGGCGCGGCGCTCAGGTAGGGCGCACGGGAAAGGCAGGGCGCGTGGCGGCGCGGCGCGCGGGCAGGGCAGGGTGCGCGGGCAGGGCAGAGGCGCGCGGCAGCGCGACGCGGAGGCAGGGTAGAGGCGCGCAGCAGCGCCGCGCGCAGGCAGGGCAGGGCGCACGGCAGCGCGGCGCGCGGGCAGGGCAAGGCGCGCGGGCAGGGCAGGGCGCGCGGCGTGGCGTGCGAGCAAGGCAGAGGCGCGCGGCAGCGCGGCGCGCAGGCAGGGCAGGACGCGCGGCAGCGCGGCGCGCGGGGAGGGCAGGGCGTGCGGCGGCGCGGCGCGCGGGCGCGGGCAGGGCGCGCGGCGCGACGCGTGGGCAGGGCGACGCGGCGGGCAGGGCGACGCGGCGACGCGACGCGCGGGCAGAGCAGGGCGCGCTGCAGCAGGCGGCGCGCGACTCAGCAGGGCGCGCTGCAGCAGACGGCGCGCAGGCAAAGCAGTGCGCGCTGCAGCAGGCAGCGCATGGCAGGGTAGGGCAGGGTAGGGCAGGGCAACGCGATCACAGTGGCGCGACGGGTGGGGTAGCGCTACTCGGTGGGTCCTAGGCTAGGACCTGCTCTGAAACCATGCCAGAATAACGAACAGGAGTGGATGAACTAGCAGCAGGATGGGTACAAGTAGCAAACCCTAATTTGGGTTGTACCCCATATGGGCTACCCCACTACAGCCTATACAATAAGCAACATATATGTTTGACACGCCTCCCAAGCACTCAGCTTCTAGCCCTTTCGACCCAACCAGAGGCCAATCCCAATGTCATTTCCACATCTTTATGGTCCCCATTCACATGCAATCGATTGATTGCCCATGATAGATGAAAATTGTTTGTTTGGGGTAAACATGTCTGATCGTGTTAAGTCGAGTCAGCTGATTGCCCCCGATTGCCTGAAATTGGATTTCAAGCTTCCTGGAAGTTTATGGTCGCCTCTGATTGAGGAGATCAGACCTGATTGGACCCACATCATAAGAACGTGTTACAGTTCGCCTCTGATCTACTGTAATTTGGTCGGGGCTTATCTGATCGGGTTGCCTCTGGTTGCATTGCTTGCGCCGCTCGATCAGATAATATATTACTCGAACATTCACTGAGGATGCACGGCAAGCATGCCACCCTTTCTTGGCCCTTTCGGGCCCACTTGGGCGAGGGCGAATGCTTCATGATGGACCTAACGATTTTATTGTTTCCCTATTACTTCGCATAAACAAGCGCGTCCAGAAAATTCTTGCCAGGGTGGTTGGTTGTGCGAAGGCTTCACGAAACCCAGCACAACACCGCAACTTTTCGCAAGCGTCGCTTGGTACCCCAAACCAATCCAGTCAACTGATCGTCGATAATTGTCTGGGGTTGTGTTTGGTTGGGCGGTTTTAGGCGGTTGATCGAGTTGGGGCGATCAACTGATAGCGATCAAATGATTTCCCCCGATTTTCCGAAATCGCCACCCTAGCTTCCCACGAGTTATTGATCGACTGTGATCGGCCAATCAGAGGCGAATCGTAACACGTCCTAAGTGACGTGAGCTTGTTCCATTTGGTCATAATTGTAAGGGGGAGCAGGTGGTTCGAGTCCAGGGAAACCTTTTCGTTGAGATAGTCCAGCCTGTGTTCCACAGGTTCCTGCAATGCAGACTCGGACTGTGTTCTGTTCCTGCAATGCCAAACCTGGGGACCCTTTTTTCTTACTCCCAATCCAAGCGAACTTCATTGAGCTTCAGGCTGGATGTTCGCGACCCTGGTGAATTAGTGGTTTTCCACTCTGCCCTCAAACTATACTAGTGTCAACAATGTTTGCCATGTGTTGAAACGCAAATTGTTTGTCGCAAATATTTTTCGGGAAGTGTCCCACGAGTTCGTTTACAGTTCATGTGGACCCTTGTAACCCTGTGTTTGCTTTTGTAACCTTTAATACTGGACAACGGTAGTCATCTGTCTTCAATGACGCGCGACATTGACGCGCTGAATGCGTCAAAAGGTTCGTATTAAAAGCGTTCAAAAACGGCTTTCAAGGTCCGTACCCTCACGTCGAACAGGTCCGCGTAACCCTAACTCCCAATCTCAGAATTTGCCCAGGAAAAGGCGAACGGCCAATTGTGGAACTGTCGTTTCGCATCCGGCCCGGGTTACCGCTCGCGAACCATGTTGAATGTGATTCGGGATACGAGTTTTGTGTGAGCGGAGTGCTGAGTCCGCATGGTGCAACTTCGTTTGGCGTAGTGCTGACGCGCTGCGTTTTTTTTCCGTCTTAGTGTACACTACGCTGCTTTGTCGAAGTTACGTAACAATCACGATTTTTTTCCCAAATGAACTCATGGGACACGCCCTAACCTCTTGCGTTGACTATTGAGTTATGTCAAACATTCGGGATCAACCCATAGGTGTATGGTGCTTTCTTGCTGTGTCCTTCAGTCGAGTCACGACTGACAGCCGGGTTGCGCCCGATCGCCGGGTTCTTACCATACCTGTTGTCCTTCGCACACCACTGGTTGATCGCGTCTCTTACGTTGTTCCTTTGCTATACTAAACTACCGTCGAAGCAGTTTCTCCAATGAGTTTCACACGCCTCCATTTCCGAGAATCTTTCTTTGCTATTAAGGTTGCTCGCCATGGCGCAGCAAGCTCCGCAAAGCGCGAGAGACAACGTTCTGAGGCTATCCGATGCCAGTGCCGTGGACAAGGACGCGCCACGTGTGCGCGGATACACGTTCGAAGAGGCAGGAGGGGCGGGGTCGGTGGTGGTCGATTACGAGCAGTTGATGGGCCGAATGGTGACGACAGGCTTCCAAGCCACCGCTCTGGGGCGGGCGATTGACGAAGTCAATCGAATAGTGAGACCTCACGCTCATATTATTGCCGCCGGCGACGCGGAGAAGGGAAATTCCTACTTCCCGTGCGCTCACTTCCACTGCCATTTCATATCCCTCACCCGAGGTATCTCGGGCCGTTACCCCCTTTCTCTCGGGCCGTTACCCCCTTTCTCTCGGGCCGTTACCCCCTTTCTCTCGGGCCGTTACCGCCTTTCTCTCGGGCCGTTACCCCCTTTCTCTCGGGCCATTACCCCCGCTTCCCTCTCCCCCCCTGGCTGCCTGCGATTTCCCTCTCGCGAAACCTCTGTCCCACACACCTGTTCCTCGTCTGTCATCCGTCATCCGTCGTAGCTGGCGTGGCAACTGAGCGACGACCCGGTGAAGGCGGACGCGAAGGAGGAGGAGAAGGACCCGGCGTTCCGCGCGGGCGTGCGGTGCAAGATCTTCCTGGGCTTCACGTCCAACCTCATCAGCTCCGGCCTGCGCGAGACGCTCTGCTTCCTCGCCAAGCACCGACTCGTGAGTCGCCAGCCCCAGCACACGCGGGAAAGACGCACGGAAACGCTGGTCGTCCATGGATCGTCCCTGTCCTGTACTCTCTTTCTCTCTCTTCCTCTGGTCTGTGCGCTTGGCTCCTCATGCCCCTACATTGGTGGTTTTCCTGTTTTGCTGACGTAGACTGGAGTCGCATTTTCATGGGAATTGCTTTTTCAATCTATAAGAATCCTTCAACCCGGCCACGCTCTCAGGTGGATGTGATTGTGACAACAGCGGGGGGGATTGAAGAGGACATTATAAAGTGCCTGGCGCCCACGCTGCTGGGCGACTTCGCCCTGCCGGGCAAGGACCTGCGCGCCAAGGGGCTGAACCGCATCGGCAACCTGATCGTACCCAACAGCAACTACTGTCTCTTCGAAGACTGGATGGGCCCCGTGCTGGACCGCTGCTTGGACGAGCAGAAGACGCAGGTGAGCGGAGTGACAGGGGGGGATTGGAGGGGAGAAAAGGAATTGACGGGATGTGGGGAACCAAAGTAGCAATTTACGCGTAACCATACTGACGACCAGCTGGTGCCACTTCCACGCACATGACAGACTGCGCAGTCGATACTCTGCTTTTCAAGCCACCTAGGAATTCCCCTTGGTTTCCCTACGCTGTGCTTGTGTGGCGTGGTGCACCACCAGGGCGTGGTGTGGACGCCGTCGAAGCTGATCGAGCGCATGGGAGAAGCCATCGGGCACGAGGAGTCGGTGCTCTACTGGGCGCACAAGGTCCGGTAATCAGTAACAGGAGTAGAGAGGGAAGCAGTAAGGGCCGATTCAGGGGGAGAAGGTAGCACAAACGGAGACGGACGAGGGGAGCTAGAACGAAACTGGGCAGTACGAAGGTCAGTGACGAGAACAGGGGACGAGGGACGAGCACAAGGAGAGCTAGAAGTCCAAGTGTGAGAAAGAGGAAGGGATAATGGAGGCTGAGAACGGGGGAAAATAGCCGGGGTGTAGTCAGGAGGAGGAAACGTGGGACCGTAGACAGGAGTAGAGGGGGAGGAGGGAGGAGAAGGGGAGGGGAGACTAAGGGCCCGAAGGCCAGAGACAAGAGGCGTAGGCGGCGGCTGCTGCTGCTGCTGCTGCTGCTACTGCTGCGACTGCTACTGCTGCTACTCCTGTTGTGGCTGCTGCTGCTGCTGCTGCTGCTACTCCTGCTGCTACTGCCGCTGCTCCTCCAGCTACTGCTGCTGGTGCTACTCCTCCTGCTGCTCCTGCTGTGGCGGCTGCTGCTCCTGCTGCTGCTGCTGCTGCTCCTCCAACTGCTATACCTCCAGCTGCTGTCGCTCCAACGCTAGCCTCTCTCGCTCCTACTCCAGCTGCTCCTCACGTGCATGGCGAAGAAGCGCCTGGTGCTGGGTCAGGTAGGGGTGGGGGGGAGGAGTATTGTCAGGGGCGGTGGTAGCCCCAGGATCGCTCTCCAAAGCACTAGTCTTACCACTCCCAGAGCCAGCACCGCCAGCAGCAACGCGGCCAGTCCTAGGCTCTCCAAGTCCAGCAGAGGGCGCACCCGCATCCCCAGTCGTAGCACCCCCAGGGACAGCTCGACGGACACCAGCTCCTCGAAGACTAGAACCTCCTTCAGACACGGGCTCGGCTCCAACTCCAGCACCCCCATCACCAGGACCTCGTGCAGGCACACTCTCAGCTCCAACTCCACCACCTCCAGAGGTAGCACCTCCAGGGTCCAGCACCCTCTGGGTCTGCAGCAGCTTGTGGAGGAAGAGATGACGGCTGCTGCGGTGACTGTGAGGAGGACTGCGGAAGGGGATGGGACTCGAGGGGCTACGGAGGGGGGGGGGGGGGGGTGGGTGGGTAGCGTGTGACACACCTGACGGGGCTGGACCAGGGGTGGGGGGGGGGGGGGTTTGGGGGGTAGCGTGTGACACACCTGACGGGGCTGGACCAGGGGTGGGTGGGGGGGGGGGGGGGGGGGGGGGCTGTACCGGAGGAGCAGGAGGGGGAGTGGGAGTCAGGAAGAGAGGGGGAGGAGGAACCAGGAGACCTCGACAGGGGTACCGGGTGTAGTAGGGAACTGATTCGTCAAAACTGACGTCACAGGAGTCAAGGAACCGGTGAAGGGGAGGGTGGTAGAAGGTGAAGTCAGAGGATTCCTCTGGGAAACCAAGGAAGACACAGAGAAGGGCGCGAGGGGAGGGTTTGTCCGCAGAGGTGTCGCGAACACGTGCCAAGCAGCCCCAGACATGAAAACGTGACGCAACACCACCAGACCCGGTACAAAGACTGGTCGGTGAAACCCCTGGCTGAGAGACACGTGGTCAGAGGTTCAGCTGGTGAGCGGCATACCGAACTGCATAGGGCCACAAAAAATGGGGCGCACTGGCGTGGATCATGGAGGTGCATGCAATCTCCATGACCAAGCCTATGCGGCGCTCAGCAACCCCATTCTGCTGTGGGGACTCTGAAAGCGTCCAGTACTGGAGGATGCCCTGCTGGTGACAGAATCCGCCAAGAACGCCATAACAAAACTCACCCCCACGGTCGGAGTGAAGACAATTGACACGACGGTGACGAGTACCCTCTGTGGCGAGCAACCACCGGATCAGCGTAGTAGTCACGTCGGACTTCTTTGCCAAAGAAAAACGGTGGTGTAGCGAGAGTAGCCGTCAACAACCACCAGAAAGAAACTCTCTCGCTCAGGACCGGGGTGAGAGGCAGGGCCCCAGACATCCAAGTGGAGGGTCTCAAAGGGCTCGGTGGCCGGACGAAGGGAGGAGGAGTCAGGGGTGGCGCGCAGCCGACCCTCGACATAAGGGCGGCAAGGTGGTGCAGGCGAAGGCGGCAGCGACGGCAAGACTCGCGGGAGGCCTAAGATAAGACGCTGACTAGACATTGTGCGAAGGCGAGGAAGGGACGGGTGACCAAGATGGTGGTGCCACAGAACGGTGGGGTGGGCAAGCAACCGACACAAGCAAGACGCAATGACTGGACCAGACGCCGTAACCTGACCAGACACAGCTACCTGGTGGGACGTTGGGACCTAATGGGGGGCAGTGTCAGGGGTCGGAGGTAGCAGCCGTGTTGCTGCTTCTTCTGCTGCTGCTGCTGCCTCTCTCGGGTGCCAGTGTGGAGCGTGTAGAGACCAGAACCCGGTTCCTGGCGAAAGGTGGCTAGGGGGGCGTACGTGTCACCGTCCACACAGGTCACAGAGTCCCCAGAAGTCTCAAACCAAACACCAACGTGCTGACTCACGAGCGACCGCACACCCACCAAGTTTCTAGAGAACGAGGGGATGTGGAGGCCCGTCAGACAACCCGAGGGAAAAGCCGGGCATGGAAGCGTAGTAGAGTGGCGAGCAATGACTGGTCCCGAAGTGGGATCAGTCAGTGCGCCAGAGACCAGTGCAGGAAGTGGAGTAAGAGTCGTGTGGTCGCGGAAGAAACAGTGCGACGCACCAGAGTGCAGTGTGAAAGACAGCGACACGTCCGCTGAAGTGGCACCTGGACTAGCGCCAACACAAATACCTACACTAGCAACTGGTATAGGATCAACACTAGCACCTAAGCTAAAAACACGCGAACAAACAGAGTCAGAAGCACTAGAGTCAACAACAGCATACATAGCATTGGCAGTTCCTATGAGTTCAAGCAACTGAGAAGCAAACATGTCCCATAGTGCGGGACCGTGCGAGAGAACAAGGGGAAGCCAGTCAGGGGCAGGGCCATCTGCGCCGTAGGCCGCGCGAAGTCTATCAGTGAGCTGAGCAAAGCACTGAACCGGTGGGTGACGGCGGTCGCAGCGGAGGCCACTGCGAGTATCTGTCTGGATGAGGTAGGGGCAGGGTGGGTGGGCGTCACCACGCGACAGCTGACGTGGTCCTGAACCAAGCCTCTAACCCTGCTGCTGCTGTGGCTGCTGCGAAAGCAGTGGCGGCTGCTGCCGCTGCTGCTGCTGCCGCCGCCGCTTCTGCTGCTGCTGCTGCTGCCGCCGCTTCTACTGCTGCTGCTGCCACTGCTGCTGCTGCTGTTGCTGCTGCTTCTGAGCCAGGTACCAGGCCGCCACCCCAGCACCGGCAGGTGCCCGACGAACCCGAGTGTCACCTCCACCAGCTGCAGTAGGGGAGCCACTAGAAGCTGCATGAGGCGCTCCACCAACACCTGCACTCCCGCCACCGCCACTCGCCACACCACCTCCGCCGCCTCCGCTGTTGGCTGCACCCTGGCCGCCCCTCCTACCACTCCTAACTCTAGACCGTGCAAAAGTCGTGACAGCAGCCGCGATCTTGTCAGTAGCGGTAGCGGCGAGGGAGGCAGTGAGGGTGGGCAGCTGTGGGATAGTGCACCCGTGGAACAGTGGGGGGTGCACAGCGCCAGAGGCAGAGGCTACCGAGCGGGGGTTGCTCTCGACATCCTTGAGCGCAGACTCAAGGAACTCGATAGTGAGCTCGCTAGGGTGCTTCAGAAGAAGCGCATCGCTAACTGTGGCAAGGCGGTCATGGAGGCTAGTAACGATGAAAAAAATAGAAATCGCCATGAGGGGGGGAAGCAGTGCAAGCTGTGCATCTGTGCAGGCAGCGCGGTAGCTAAAATCCAGCGAACGCAAGTGAGCGATCAAGTCAGCAGAACGCTCAAACGAGGCGAGGTCAGGAAACAGGAATGCGAGGAACAGGCAACCAAGAGAGACAATGGTGGCAGTGGAGTAGCGGGCCTTGATCGCAGTCAGGAACTCATGAGCACTGCAAACCTGGGTAAAGTGGGTCTCCTCAGATTCAAGGAGGAGGCTGCTGAGGGCGATGCAGGCTGCGGCATTGCGCGATCTCTAGGCTGTCAGAGCAACGTACTGACGTGCAAAACGCTCTCTGTCCGCAATGGTGGGGTCAGCGCCTAGGGGTGCAGGATCAGAGGGCGCAAGAAGGTCATCGGACGTGTGCGCCCAGAGGGACTCGTCGGCCTGACACTAACTCTCTAGCAGGCGCTGCGCACGAAGGAACCAGACAGAGAGCTCTAGCGGCCGACCCTCGGCATCAAAGCGCAGTAACCTAGGGGTCGCCATAGTGGAAGCAAAGAGGTGAGAACTACGGCTGCCAAAACCCTAAACGCCTAGAGGGCCTGAGCAGGGCGCGAGAAGAGAGTGGTAGCAGCACCCTCAAGGCTGAAGTATAGCCGTTTGGGAGGACCCAAGCAAGGTGCCATGGCGGTTCAGGCTGATGAGGGAGAGGATGAGGAGATGGCCTTCTGTTTCTTCATACCTTTGCCTGGAGAACCAGCCACAGTGGAGGAGGCACTCAATGGACCCCAGAAGGAGGAGTGGAAGGCTGCCATGGTTGCGGAGTTCAACAGTTTCATTGAGAATGGGACTTGGGAGCTTGTTGAGTTACCTGAGGGGCGACGGCCAATCAGCAGCAAGTGGGTCTTCAAGGTGAAGAATGGAGCTGATGGTGCGTTGGAGCGGTTCAAGAGCCGCTTGGTCGCCAAGGGGTTTCAGCAGAAAGAGAAGGTCGACTTTGGGGAGATCTTTGCTCCCGTTGCTAAGCCATTGACACTGAGGACTTTGCTGGCTGGCGCAGCTGTGAAGGGATGGCACGTGAAGCAGATGGATATCACCACTGCATTTCTCAATGGAATACTGCTGGAGGATATCTTCATGGCGCAGCCCGACGGCTATGAGGATGGGACCAGCCGGGTGTGCAAGCTCAAGAAGGCTATCTATGGCCTTAAGCAAGCGCCCAGGTGCTGGTACGAGAAGCGCAACCAGACCCGAAACGTCGATTCATC